GCTTGGTTGCCACTTCCTCCTATAGTGACATTGGTCCCTTCCGCAGCGAGTTCTTCTGGTTTGTTTGGAGACACCAGCTTTTCCTCAATATCTGCATTTTCTGACTTGTTCTGTTTACCAACATCAGCACTGTGAACTTCCTCAGATTCAGGCTCTGGCTTGTCCCCAGAGGGCAGTTCAGCACCTTTTAAGCACTCATCCTCTTCCGCAGCTTCCATCTCTTTCTTCTTCTTGTCCTCCATTTCAGCTTCTGCATTTTCCGACTTGTCCTGATTGCCGTCATCAGCACTGTGAAATTCCTCAGATTCAGAATCTGGCTTCACCGCAGGGGGCAGTTTAGCATCCTCTATGCGCTCATCTTCTACCACAGCTTCCACCTCTTTCTTCCCCAAGTTTTCATTTTCTTCTTTGGAAGATTCCATCCCTTTAGTTTCTGAACTTTCCTTCTCAGCTTTTGCAGCATCCTTTTCCTTGCTAACTTTCTTTGTACCAGATGATGTCCGGCGTTTTTTCTTTGGTGATTCAAGTAGTGAAGGTGGTCTCATTGCCTTGACCTTCTCACTGATCCTTGCTGATCTCCTTGGAGTCTCACCAGTACTCCAATCAAATTCTGCAATAGCAGGGTTTCCAGGATGTGCTTTGAGATACTGCTCCAACTGTTTGCGGTTTTTGACCTCCTCTCCTGTTGGAGTGATAAATACAACCTCACTCTTCTTTGGTGTACCCCCTTGCTTTGGCGTGAACTGCAAAGTGACAGAGGTAAAATATACGTCAGGTGTACATGTAAGCTACACAACAGCACATTTTGAATTCCCTTAAATAGGCCTACTCCTGTTGTCTCCCAAGAATGTCCAGAGTACACTACATAACGTACGTAGTCCAACTATCCATCTTCAGCACAGGTATAAACTACTCTCTCTACCTTTCACATGTAAGGTCAAGGTCATTTGCTGATTTCTTGATGATTGGAAGAGTTGCATTAATAGTGATAGACTTCACAGTTCTTAAATATAAGGCTAGACTCCCCTATCATGATTCTAAAGATGGACTATCTAAGCTGTCAGGAAAAATGTTAAAAGACCGCAACCAAAATATGAACAGGAACATAGGCTCTCTCTTTTCATCTTTTGAGGTTTAAAGACAAGGAATTCCAAGGGGTGACAAATAGAAGGATCGAGTTTTATGGTTATGACACAACACACTAATACCCCGGTCAATATTGGTTGGTTCAGGGTGTAGCCTAGCTGTTAAAATGAAGTGATTGAGAGCCATGAAGTGTAAGGTTCAAATCACAGCGGAGGCAAAAACATTAGGTGATTCTTTCCATTTATTCTAGCCTTGATGGATAGAGTTACCTAATATTTATTGTTGGTGGAAATTGACAGATATCCCTGAAATTAGTCAAGGTGCACGAAAGCTAGCCCGGACACCACGGCCTCTATTCTTCAGTTTATCTTTTATCTTCCAGTTACTAAAGTAACTATCTTAGCCCAAAGTAGAAGGTTGACAATCAACCTGTTCAGATCGCGCTCTTTTAGCTCATTTCATCCCAACCTTTGATTAGCCAATACAGTATAACTAATTATACTGCATCAGTAAGTTAACTAAGACTTAAAGAGGCAAATTTACTGAGAGATGCAAAGCTAATTGATGATGCTGCACTAAGTAACAGTGAAACTCCCTCAAAAAACCCAATTTTTCCACCAAGAAACTAAAAAAAAACTACTTTTATCAACCAGAAACATGATTATGCTTCCTACTACATGAATTTTGTGAACCAAAAGACAAAATAATTAAGCTGACCAACACCTATAAAAGTTCAAGCTACCATAGAACATGAATTAAGGTAAGCAAAGAGCAAAAAATTACAGGAACATGATGGCTACAAGCAAAATTGAGAAAGAAAATTATTGAGTACCAATTTTTTCCATGAAGGAGGTGCAGCAAGCTCCACCGACACAATTTCATCATCATGACTCCCCTTCTCCATAGGACTTGCCATCCTTAAAATTGACCCAAAAAAAAAAAAAATTCCAACTTTGTTTCAAGCAAAATTCAGAAAGAAATTAAGACAGAATTTCAACTAAAAGTTTGTGATGAGCATGTATGAAGTTGCAGTAAAGAGGTTGTGTTTTTGCTTAGATAAAACTTGGCTGATAGCAACCGCCACGCCGTGAAACAGATAGACCACACGTGCCACGTAGCCAACTTTCAAGGACAAACGAGCCTTATCAGTTAACACATCCAAACCGACAATTTTCTCATATGCTCTTTCTAAGTCATAATACATATATATAATTCTTAACTTTTAGTTTCAACGAACAATTATGTCATTCAACTTTGAGTGTCCACAAATAGGTTCTTAAATTTATATAAAATTGAACAAGTAGACACATTTGTCCTACATGACATAATACATGTAGGATGTCACGTAGGACACAAATTTTTTATGTTGTGTGTCATGTAGGACGAATGTGTTTATTTATTCAATTTTATACAAGTTTAAATATCTACTTGTGCACACCCAAAATTAAAGTTCATAGTGTTTATGTATTATGCCTCTTTCTAATCCTCCTCTATCTCATTTTCTCATTTTACCTAACACTTAATTTAACATGATCTTTAAGGAAAATAAATATATAATATTTTAATTTAATATAAATTTTAGATATTTTTGTGATAATAAATTATTACATTCAAGATAAAAATATATTTTATAATAAGTTAATTTTAATTATAATAAAATGATTTTTTTTTTGAAATTGACTAAGAAAATCAAGTGTCACATAAATTACGTGACATCCTTTTCTTTTTAATTCGTCTTAAAAAATATCGTTTTATTATAATTAGAAATAATTTAACTTTAAAATTCTATTTTTAAGAATTTTTACCTTTGATGAAATGATTATCAGTCAGTTAAGTATCTAACAATTGTTTTAAATCTTAAATTTCAAAATCTTTCTTTTTTTCTAAATATCGTACCTAGTCAAAGGATGTGACGTAAATAAGACAGAGAGTAATATACTTTTTAAATAATCACACAAATCTTATGCAATATTCAAGTTCAAGATCATAATAAGGCATTATATATAATGATAAAAATATCATGCCACACAATCTTCTTCGAAATACAAATGATTTGATTTATTTTATAATTAAAAATTTCTAAATATCTTATCCTAGATGTGCCAAATGGCATATTCGAAGGTGAAGATTCGTTAGTTTAAAGTTGTTTCCACTAAATATCTTCAAAACAAAGACATATTTTAAAATTTTAAAAATCCTTTATAGAAGGTCCTAGATGTGATGTGGACACTTATGATGCTGTCTATTATTTCCCATCCTCGACAAAGAGCGTGCCGTTCACGCAAGATTTTCAGTCGTTAGATTTGAGGTGGTGTAATGCACGCTCTATGGAGAACCATTTCGTACGGCCTGCGGGGGAACATCAAACATGGGACCCGTGGTTAATGGATATGGATTCGGATATGGGTTCCCCCAATTATGCGCTATTAATCGAATTGGAATATGAATTTTACGTCCGGATACTCGGACTTTATCATATTTTAAATTTTTAGACATGACATATGAATATAATAATTTTATGATTTAGGTTCGTTTGGTACGGAGGATACCTCCTTCGTTTCATTTTATTGATTTGTTACGGTATTTTTATAAAATAAATATTAGAATTTATCGTCTAAAATAATTATGTAGTTGAAAATCATTTTATTAAGAATTTAAATGAATATTTTAAAGTTAAATTATTTTTAATTATAATAAGGTGACAGTTTGATTGGGATAGACTAAAAAGGAAAAAAATAAAATTGATATATATAGCGTATAAACAAGTTTGAGAGTTCATATGGGTAGTGACGGAGCCAGAATTATCAATAAGGGGTTTAAAAACTGAAGAAATAGACACACGAAGTAACCGAAGGAGATTCGACATCTACTATATATACCTAAAAAATTATTTTAACTATATAAAAATAATATAATTTTTCGTCGAGGAGGTTCGGATGAACCCCTTATGTGGCTCCGCCACTGCATATGGGGTGTGGTTTAGATCTTAACAAAGATTTTCTTATTGGTTCTTTTAAGTATGCGTTTATGTATACAATTTTATATGATAAATTATGATTTTAAATATAGTTTCATATTTAAATTCTCTAAAGCATGATTTGAGATTTTAAACTTGTTATTTTTTATAAAATTATATATATTTGAAAATTTGTAATTGTAAAATATTTTTTTTATAAAATGAACATGAAAATATACGATTAATCAATGTGACGGCCTAGGATATTTTGATATCCTATTTATGGATTATGGTATTATAGTTCATTCATTTGATACGATTCTATAAGAATTGGAGAAATTTCAATGTATATCTTGTGAAGGTTTTGTGAGTATGAGAAAAAATAATTAAGAAATTCAAATTGCATATCTAAATAAAATTCAACTACATATTTATTTGATTTCAAATCATGATTTCATATCAGATATCTAGACGGACCAAAAAAATAATAACCAGCAGAAAAAGAAGAAAATAAAAAGACAATCTGGAGTAGGACTTAATTGTCACACTTGGCTCAGAAACAGTCATCGGTCAGGCCCATAAATTGCCAGTTTGTTTAAGGATGAATTTCCACTTTCTAGAGCCCAATAAAGGATTGCATACACTCCCTCTTTTCCATTTATGTGAAATTTTTTAGATTATGAGAGTTCAAACTTTTAATTTGATCATAATTTCGAAAAATAAATTTCACATGTTTTAAAAAGTCCAATTAAAAGTAACCAAAAACCATTATGATCGAATTCGTCCACTATGATTCGAATAATGATAATTTTTTTAATATTCATTCGACCTCGTGCATTATTGTCTTTCGAATTGTGATTTTTTTAAACTTAAAGTGTTCATTTAATTTGACGAGTGACTAGTTTTTAAGTGTCTTTCGAAAACAACTTCTCCATCTTCACGAGGTAGGAATCCGTGCATACTATAATTCCACTTAGCTCTTTTACTTCAATTCCTCATCAGTCTCTTCAGCATCCCACAGGAACCTAGCATATGATGCCACTACATAACTGCGCAACAATAAAAACCCATGTATTATAATTAAAAGCAAGTATGCTCTCAATAAATATTGAATTTCAATCACTTAATTCCTTAAGATTAATGATTTACTCCTTCAGTTTCAATTTATGTGACATTTTTTGTTTTTCGAGAGTCAAAACTCAAAATAGTTTAAATTTGATCAGAAATTTACACGTGGAATTTTCAATTTTTTTTGAAATGAAATTTATATATTTGTTAACTACATAAAAAGTATTATAAGTCACAATAATCGGTAATTCAAAATAATTAAAAAATATATGATAAATTTAAGATCAAAGATAAATTTGTTTGAATCTCAAAATTCGAAAAATGTCATATAAATTGGAACGGAGTAATTATTTTTTAAAAAGGTTTATACCAATTATGAGGGTCAAATTTAACAGCTTGATCAAAATAAGCATTGGCACGAGATGCATCTTTTTGAGTTAACCATATTAGATCTGCATAAAGTGATAACACATTCCCATCCCTTGGATTTACCACTACAGCTCTTCCACAATATTCCTCTGCTTTTACTAAATCCCCCTTAACCTGTTTTTTCAAAAACATAATCTCCATATTAATTACACTTATTTTGATAAAAAACAAATCATATTTCAATTTGATTGTTTGACTAATCATGAAATTTTTAAAAGTAAAGAAAATCTTAAATTAAACACATATAAAATGTATTAACTTTTTTTTTAATTTATGATCTTAAAATTTAGGAGTATTTACCAAAAAGGAAAGAGTGCATCTTTTTAAATTGATCAAAAAGAGAAATTAGACAAATAAACTGGACTAGAGAAAACAATATTAATTTTCTTTTCTTTTATTTTTATTTGTCCATTATATTAAAATATCCATTTTTACTTGTAAAGTTAGGAATTCAAGAAATATTTACTACTTTATACCTATTTTACTCTTATTACTCCCTCTGTCCCTAATTACTTGTCCACTTTTGCATTGACACACCTATTAAGAAAACAATTAATGACATAGTGAGTTTACCATTTTACCCCTATTAATTAAAAGTGGATGAAAAGTTCTACATTTTTCAAAGTAATTAGTCATTTAATTGAGGATATAATAGGTAAAAAAAATTTGTCTTTTCTTGATTTGTCAAAAAGAACAAGTAATTAAGGATAACTATAAAAGGATATCAATTTTTGTGGCATTTTTATCTTTAGCGCCTGTCTCAAAAAGAGTCTAACACTTCCATTATTAGAAATAATTTAAGTATTTAACGTTGACTCTGTGCACGCTAAGTAAAGAATTGTCACGTAAAGACAAAAAGAGCAATAAATAAGGATAATATAGTAAAATTACTATCTTATCCTGTCTCTTAAACATGAACATGTAATCATAGACGCGAAGGAAATACTATCTCCATTCACTTTTAATTGTCATGATTTTTTAGAGCCAAACGATAAGAATTTTAAATGTTATGATGTATTTTTCATCATATTGATATGTAAAAAATTGCAATTTATAATGTTTTTCGAATAGTTTTTGAATATCTAAATTTTGTTTAAAATATCGAATTAGTGTAATTTGATTTAACTTTGAAAATTAATCAAATTGACTTTTGAAAAACGCAACATGACAATTAAAATTGGACAGAGAAAGTAGTAGTTATGAAAGATATAATGTTAATTCATACCTCTTTCAAAAACCTTGCGTAGTTTGCAAGTAAAAGTGCATTTCTCGGGTAAGTTTTGATCATTTTCTTGTAATACGCTTCTGTATTTTCATTCCCATGCCAACCATTTGAATCATCAGAACCTGAACCCGAACCCGAACCAGAACCATCTCCACCTCCGCCACCACCGGTCCACCGCCCACCACTGTACACTTTACCTCCGCCTCCGTCTTCCGGTGCAGCGCAATAATCCTCCGTCGTCTTAACTTCATCATTATAAGTTGATGATGATAATTCTATGTTGGAATAAGAATTCCTTATGCTTATTTTGTTCATGGGATTATTGTTTTTCTTATGATCAGGGCCGTCCATTTCTCGCATATTGCAATTACAGTAATTTTCATCATAATTAAGCTGAATGGACGTTGATAATGGGGTCCTGACGTTGGATATCCATGAATTAAGTATGCAACTCGATGATGATGAGCTTCTTAATAACATTGTATATTAGGAGAGAGATATCTTAGTTACATCCACAATTTTATAGCGGAGAACGTTACTACTTTCTTCGTAATCTTTTGACTTGATACATAATTTAAGAAAGTAAAAAAGACTTCTGAATTTTATGCTCATAAACTAAAGATATGTCAAATACACATATCACGTGGAGAGTTATAACTGAAAAGTTGACAACAAAAAAGAAAGATAATTTTTTTTGAAACAGACTAAAAAAGAAATGAAAAGAAGAAGGTATTTTCTTCGATTCAATTTGACTTGACATTGAATTTAATGCAATAGAGAAAGAAAACTCGATAATGAACTTCTTAATAACGTGATCTGCTTAGAGATGGAACAAAATCAGGTGAGCTTCCCTGCCCATAGAATTAGGAGAATGATACATTTAATTAAATTGGTGTCTCTCTTTGGAAAAAACATCTAGGATTTTATAGAGGAAAAAACCACGCCCTCCCTTCCTTTTTGGTAATTGTCCATTTTAGATTTTGCATATTTTTAAGAAATTAAAATTAACATGATCATTCGAGTATTATATTCATATTGATTGATGTATAGTTAAAAATTGTGAAAAATAATTTTGAAAAATACTGAGAATAAAAACATTATTTATATATATAGTTATACCAAAATTGATAAAGATAAAATAATAATATATTTTTTTAATATAATGAATAAATAAAACGAGTACTTCAGTAATTAAGGACCGTTGAAAAGAAATAATGTGGAACCATATAATTGCTTCATGTGACGAACATATCACAGTATAAGTGATTTTATTTAAGCACGGGCACACGAATTTATCACAGTATAAGTGATTTTATTTATATAAATATTTTATTTTAACCAAATATTTATAGAAATATTACTGTATAAGTGACTTTATTTTTATACAAGAATAAATAAGAGTCCGTTTGGATTGACTTAAAAATTGGTCAAACCTACTTTTAAGTCAGTGTTTGACTTCTAGAAGTGTTTGACAAATATAAAAAATAAATTAAAATATGTTACGAAGTGTTTGGCAAGGTAAAAAATGACTTAAAATTAGTCAAAAATGACTTAAAATAAGTCAGAAACCAAAAGTAAGTCTCTCCCTATTATTTTTTTTTTGACTTAAAAGTCATTTCAATTTGACTTAAAGCTATTTTTTTAAGTCAATTCAAACGGGCTCTAATTACTGTAGTGCCCATTATTGATTTGATAAGTAAAACATTATCTTTGCATCCGGAGATTTGACGCTCACGATTTAAAATTTATAATATTTTATTAAATAAATTAGTCATTTCGACAACAACAACAAAAAAAAAGTGAAGCTTATCAACACTTCTTTATTTAATAGACAATTGTTTTTTTTAGTTTCAACAGTTATATTCTATCCAAATATGTATCTGTTTATTTATAAAATTAATTTTAATACTTAAAACATATTCCGTCCGTTCAATCTATGCGACATTTTAATTCATATTCAAAGAATAAGTTGACTAATAGATGAATCTAATTAAATTAGTTTCGATCACCTCAATATTTTAAAATTTAAATTTAAATATATATTTTTATTCAAATGGGAAACACACCCATGTTGGATGTTGCTTTGTGATACCATAGATGTTAATTATTCTTATATCAATATAATGAAAAATATATATTTTAAAATATTATGAATTCTAAAATTTCAAAACATGCTACATAAATTAAAATAAAAAGAAGGTCGACTATTTACAATCAACTAATCTAAATATATACTTCCTTTATTCCAATTTTTGTGGCACTTTTCATTTTTCGATAGTCAAACAGTTTAAGTTTGACCGAGAATTTACGCATGGAATCTTCAATTTGTTTTTAGATGAAATTTATATATTTGTAAACTACATAAAATGTACTATAAGACACACTAATTGATAATTTAAAATATTTAAAAGATATATGAAAAACTTACAGAGTCGCTCTCTGCTTGTTTTACTTGTTACATTACATCCAATGTTATTCCGACACCATTCATGAACCTCGTGGGTTTTGCTTTGGACATTTCGACGGCCCACAAATTGGGGGACGGCCCATATTCATTTTGGCATCGCTTTCTCAACAAATTGATGATGAGCAACGTTAGATTGAGACATAAATTTAAGTTAATCAACAAAGTTATATTGCTTGAGACATTATATTATATAATTTTTTGTTGGACAAGGCCATTTCACCTTTTTATTTATGTTAGATTTCTCTGAATTAGTTATTTCCTTTTGCCATGTTTGATTGATTAATATCTCAAAAAACAAGTTATTTAAGGTTCAAAAGTCGCGAATAATGAACTTACTCATCTATGTTTTTCCACTTAACAAACGCCATTTTTTTTCGTATAGGGGAGAATTTTGATATCTTGATGCACTCATATATCACATCACACTATCAACATTAAATTAAAGTCATATGAGTTTTTTTTAATCTTATTATCGTATGAATTTTATGAAAAATGTTTTAAAGTCTTCTAGTATATTTTGACTTGAGGCTATCAATTCTATTGAGTCATCCTGAGAGTAATAAAGGATTTTTAGTTAATAAATATAATCTAAATGTTCACATATATTGTACTTTAAATGCAACGACGACACGAACACAAAAGTAGGAAAAGAGGTCCCTCTTCCAGGCTGAATACTAACATCGAATTTTTTTTTTTGGCACAATCTATTCTGCGTTCCATATTGATTTGTCCCCTGGATTGCACTTATTCTTCATTCAAAAAGGGCCAAAACATATAATAGTTTTAATTGACAACAACGATGGAATATGTGTTAACCTAATTATCATACCGTTCTCGTGCCATTATCTTTACAACTCACACCATAAATTTCTGATTTCTCTGTGTATTCTATCAATATCCTTATTTGTCTAAACTTAACTCACATCAATCAATCGATCATGCTTCTTTGTCGGATTGGTCACATCATAATTATCTAGGTAAGTTTACTTCCATGATAAGATAACAAGAGGTGAGAACAAGAACAACCACTCTCGTAACAGAGGAAGAGGTAACTTTGATGACATCAATGCCAAGGGTCTATCAAAAACAATCTCTCTACCGAAGAGGTAACTAACCCCTCTTGGTGGAAGGTGATTGCTTATCGATGAGATAACTACTACTTCAAAAGAGAGTTTCACAAATTTGGTTGGCTTAAATGTGGAAGATCCAATGGTGTAAAAGATCGTTAAACGAGTTTTCATTCTTTTCCCATAAGAAAGTAACATCTGCTGAAAGAACCAGACGAGAGTCATCAGTTTTTATAAACGTCAACGGGTTTCCTAGCACAATAGTTTGTTTGAATGTACAAAAGGTAGGTTACATATATATATCTTTACAAATCACCTCATATATCCAGAAACCTCTTTGTCACGAAGCAAATCAAGTTTACATCATCCTAATAAGGCTACTACTCTCCCTTGACGATTCGTCCGCAACCTTAGCTTGCAACACATCTCAATCATACATTCCTTCCTGCTCCCAAACATCCACAAGAAAATCTACCATTTCCTGTTCGTTTTATATGATGAGCCAAAAACAGTTAAATAAAGCACATGTTTAGAACGGCTGGAAAGTTGAATAGAGCACAGTATGAAAAGCATTCAATACATTTTAAGCTGTTTTCAACAAGCAAACTTACAGCAAGTGGGATACGCTTGAGAAATGGCTTGTTGCTCCCCAGCAGACTATCATAAGTAGCATTCCAACTGCAAAAATAAAATTACTATTGAAGTATGATCCATCAATAGAAAACATTTAATTGAGCAAAGAACAAAATATCCAAGCGTGATTATTCCTCAAAAATCCATGCTGAACATCTGAATTCCATACCCATGCAAATCCCGGACAAGTATCATCTTCTCTGGCTTCTGCAGCCTTTCCTCTTTCAGTTGTTAATCTTAATCTAGGACCAACCTTAGGAAAGTATTTAGACATAATTTTGACCTTCCTAGCCCAACACTTAATGGAAATCCTAAAACCATCACATAGAAATTGATACTACAGAAGCTGACTATAGTATTGTCTAGTTAAACAACTGATAACATATCGCCATGTCAAAGAGCAACACCTAAACTCCAAGGAATGTTAAGTTTGTTGAAATGTATGACCATCTTATCTAAAAGCATAAGTTGTTAGAGAGAGAACACTTATATTGTTTAATTATATTCTCAACACCCCCCCTCACGTGCGGGCCAAATTTTTTTTTCAAGGGCCAAGCACGTGGAAATTCTTTTAGATATGGGTGGCGGTGAGATTCGATCTCCGGACCTCTGCCTGCTCTGATACCATGTTGAAGTTGTGTGACCATCTCATTTAAAAGCTTAAGTTGCTAGAGTGAGCACAAAAGGAGTTTTATAGAGTTTTGACTTTTAGAATTAGTTACAAAAGGTCTCAATTAAACAAGATCACTGAACCAAAAGGTCTTCGATCCAACTAATAGACTGCTGAATATACTCCTTTGGTATTCCAACTCGCCAAATAAAAATCAATCCTATCAGAAGTAGTTTCGACTCTTTTATTTGGATTTAGTTTGTTGAAGAGAGAAGATGTAGTGAAATGTTGTCCAGTTGCCATGCCAGAGCTCTAGAATGCTACATTTTATGATCAGAATTCAGACACTCAAATACCTATACAATAATACATGCCAAAAGATATGCACCAAATCCAGTAACATATCTACTTCAAAATCAGGCCTCAAGCACCTTCCCCCCAACACAACCCAACCCAAATAAGTTTCAGCCTAGCATGATAACTGATTAATTTCTTCATTTTTAATCAAAGAATTAAAATTTAGGACAAATTGAAAACAGATCATGCCTCGGTTAATGAGAACCTAAAACTTGAAATACTACATCATTTGTAGTCAAATTATAGTAAGACAGTGTGGGGTTCTTGAATTATCAGATAGTTCGGTAAAAATTATAACATCTAACCTTAATTTGGGTTCAAGAAGCTGTTTTGGTTGCTTCTCGGGACTTTTACGTCCGACCCACTGCTGTCTGATTTGGTTCCAGCGAATAAATCCTGATAAAAAAGAACTAACTGCATAAGTTAACTCATAGAAATATATTTTTTCAAAAACCTATTGGCTGATCAATCTTACTCTTAGGACCTTTTTACACAGACACAATGAGCAAGTTCACAAACTTCTAAAAAATCTCCGAGGGCCAAGGGGATTAGCAGGAACTATCTGGAACATCCAGATTCTCAAGAACTGGTATTTGAAATTTTTTTAAAAAATTACTGATATTTAATAACAAGTAACCACTACTTTATCAACAACAAAAAAAAGTACCCACAAGATTTACCAAATGCAGCAACTTTCTTGCCACATATTTGCTCGTCAGGTCTTTTTGTGTTGAAGACTACCATAAAACACTAGGGGCATTGTAGGGAACATTTCTAGAAGAATAATGACAGATATGATCCATGGCTAACCAGAGGTCTAACGCACCAAAAAAGATAAAGAGAGGCACCGGGGAACAAAGGAAAGAAAGAAATTTATTGCTGAAGCATGAGTACTGCTTTAGCTGTCGAAAGTTCTCATTTGACAATTGAGATCTCTTATACTAGTGATGTTGAATAAAGAGTTTTCAATGAAAACATCGTGGTTCATCTAACAACCAGGATAACAAAAAAGGCATGGAATGATATTAAGTTGTGAGCAAGAGAAGATCCAATACCTACCATGATTTACAAATTCAGAATGGTTGTTTGTATTTGCAGCGCCATGAGCATCAGGTGTCTGAGTAGATGTACTAATTGACGAGATGCTTCCTTGTGATTGAGCTGCACTGTAGTTGTCCATGTCACGCGTACTGGTTGTCCAAAAATCCGCCGACAGTTTAGCTTTATGTACTAAATGATCTAGATGTTTCTTCTCATTCAGAGGCTCATGAACTGAAGAAATTAATTTGATTTTACTAACGGACCCCAGACAACCACTGCACTGTTACAAATGACATTTGTTCTGTAAGAATCAATTAGGATACATATACGTAAAAGAGACATCTTCTAGTCAGAAAATTCAAAAATAATTTCCATGGCACGTAAACAACGGAAAGGATAAATGGCTATAGGGCTAGCAGGATATAACATTTCCACCTCATTAGGATCGACTCTTCCAGAGATCATCAAAACAATATAGATCTCTTTCTTAATGAGGTTTAGAGGCTATACTACTACATATAGTTCATTTGGTTATTGCTTTAATAAGTTACAGACTTATGGAGCACATACGAATGGACAGATTGGGATTTTGGACTATGTGATGACAAGGTTAGTGTAACACCAATTACTAGTAAACATTCTTCTGTCATTGAATGGACTAGATTTAAGCAAATAGCATCAAGATTAAAGTTTGATTACCTTTTGATGTAAATAACTCTGAGACCTACATTTTGAGGAAAGTAATTGTTTTAACTACTGTAAACTCCTAGACTAAATCTTCAGAGACAAGTGAACTACATTTTTGCATTTAAAAACATGTTAATAATGGTTCTAATACCAAATTATTGGTATTGAAGAACAGAGAAGAGAAGAATAAGAGAAAAGAGTATAGATGAGGAGAAGTTTTGGGAGAAAACTAGCAGATTGTATTATCATTTATCATGGTGCAATACAAGTGTTTGATTGAGCTCTAATACTACCTGCAACGTCCACATGAAGTATGCTAAAAATGAAATAACAGGAGAGAAGAAATTAAATTAGGAAAAGAAAATGCTAACTTAAGCTGACAAACTTTCCCCCGACAATTAGCTCTTACACACACTTTGAGCTAATTATTAGCTTAGCCACTAATTCCGTTTCAAGTTTTTCAAAAAGTATCAAAATTATATGAATAAAAAGTTATTCTGCATCCCTCAATTACCATCTTTTGGTCCACCATTATTCACAATTACTTCATAAAGAAATAAAAGAATCGAAAACCTAAAAGTTATAAAAACACATCATTTCTGGATTACAAATTTTTGGGAAAATTAGGTACTTCCCCAGTCATTGATTCATTTCATTATTTCATAGATGGGCTTTCACAATGTAAGACAGTGGAAGCAAACGGGCAATCGGCTGCCTAAAGGACCCCATTTGTGGTTGAAGGTTAAGTTTATTCTCCTTCCTTCAATATATCTCACTCCGCTATGCTAGAAAACTGAGCAGCTTCAGTTTATTACCAACCTCGAGTTCAACAACCATTGGGTAAAAACTAAAACTTACTCCTTTCCTTAAGCAATCCTATCCTTTTCTTGCTTTCTTCTTGTCTTGAGCTTTTATAGAACAGCTTTATATCAGGTATAGTTGGTTAGGATGAAGCGTTAGTAGATATAACAAGTGTGCCGGGCTTTCTTTGCTGCTTTCAGGGTATTTGGAAATATATTTAGAAGTCAAAAAAGAATAATTCTAACTCACTCATGACAACAACAAGCCTGGTGGGTATTTGGAAATATATTTAGAAGTCAAAAAAGAATAATTCTAACTCATTCATAACAACAACAAGCCTGGTCCTCAAGGCCATCACTATTCAAAGTTATAATTTCAATCAAGAGCACCTTAACCCTAAACTAGTTGGGTTAACTATATAAATACTCTCTATCCATTTATATTGAAGCCCAATTCAGATGATTGTCATATACTCATAGATAAAAATTCTATATCCTTTCCTCAGGAACCATGTCTACTCAAACGCCTAACCAAAAAAAAAACCCTAATTGAATAAACCAAAAATAAAAAATAAAAATTAAGCTATGATAGAGACCAAAAATACATTACCCCATGCATGCGATTGCGATGAATTGAATGAACCAAGCTGAAATAGATCCGATTAGAAACAATGCTGCCACTATAAACAACGAACAGACGAAAATAAAAAAATTCACAGGGCCTGCTATAAAAAAAAACACCAAAATGTTTCAAATTCTTACACGAATCGCAGGGGAAATTTAAGGCAAAGAGATGAAATACCTTAAGATTGAGAGAGAGAAAGTCGGAGCAATCTCTCTCCGGGGAAAAACCTTCCAGAAAATTGGTCCGGTGCCGGAATGGTGAAATTCCCTTTCAATTAATCATTAGATGGCTATTTTATTCTGCTTATATCGTATTTATATACATGATCAGCATGGATTAACATTATTTTATTTTTGGGCTCATGTTGATTTCTTTTTAAAAACCGTTGGTAATGATTGGTACGAGATATAAGGTATAATAATTTTAAGATAAAATATAGGGTTATTTTATCTCAATTACTATATTTTATTCTAAGTTTGACCGGAAATATTAATAGTCCTTAAATTTATTTTATTATAACATCTCATATGTAATAAAATAATTTATTTTGAGAAAATTAGTTACGAAAATAACTTGTTCCTAATTAAACAGCTTCAATAAAATTTAGGAGATTTACGTAAGTTAGTTCATAAGAAAATCACCTAGCTATGCTATAAAGAAAATATTATTAATTTTTATAGTAATAAAAATGAAAAATACAAAATGTAACTATCCCCAACCCACTCTATATATCTGTCTCTCTTATTCTTTGTATTTTTTTCTCACATTTCTCTTTCTTTCTTTATAATTTTCATTAAAAAATTTCTCTAAATATTTATATCTTCCAATTGTTTGGAATTCCATTCAAATGATGAATTATTTTCATAAAGACAAAACTATATTTGATCTTATAGTTTTAATTAAATACAAATTTATCTAATAGACAAAAAGAGAGGGTGCTTCTTATCCTTTTTCATTTTCTTACTTTTCTAAAAATAGCGGTCTAGTTGGAGGAATCTGTGCCATTGTTGGGTTTGAACAGAAATTAATAATTCAAACCAAAAAAATTATTTACCTGTAACTGATTATTGATTTAGCAATTTGATCATAGTTTTGATTTTGTTTTATATTGGGTTATCAATTTTTTAAAGTTTTGAGTTTTTTTCTTAGCGATTTAATTGATAATAATAAACTATATTCATACCAGTTAATATATAGAGTCGTTGACTTAGGAATTAGTATCATGCTTTCATTTTTTAACAGTCTCAAACTCTCGATTATTCTATAATGTCCTAGTATTTTCTTTTGCAAGATACAATCTTTTAACTCATGTGCATGGTTCATTTGATTTATCACTTTTTTCTAAACTGATTTTCAATGATTTTTTATGTACGAAATATTAAAAGTCTAAACATATAACTGAACTGATAATGATCAATAGACAATAAACCCAATAATTGCACTACAATAAAAACACCTTTTAGCGGCAATAAATATACATATTAAACAAACAGTGTTAAAGTATTTACCGACATTAGTTAATTGCCATTGGATCCAATGTCGCTAAAGGCTTTAGGGACATATACAAAGAGTGTTAATTGTCGCTAAAAGTACATATTTAGTGGCAATTAAGCTATTGCCGTTAATTAATTACTGCTACAGATCATTTTTGATGTAGTGTTGGTAAGTTGATATATTAACAATTTAGCATATTTACAAATTGATAAGTTAAACCGACAAACTTCAAAATCGAATCAAATCCATCGATACACAACTCTATTTGAAAGGCACCAATTTATCATTCCACTGCTAAGAAAGAGTTGTTCGTTTTTCTGTGAAACTAGCCTCATACAGTCCACTCCGCTTTTAGCAATCAATTGGGTCACACGATCCAACTCTAAGGCTGATAGACATTAGCCCACCAAGCCCAATCAGCTAGGACAGCCCAAAGTAGATTTCTAATTCTCTATTATTCTTTTAAAATTAAGATTATATATTTTTAATCTGTTGTAAATGATGACTATACTTAGAAAATTGTCGCTAGTGGTGCCTTTAGGTTGTGTTTCAAGTATTTATTTATGTCTTAATTAGAGGTGTCAAATGATCGGTTATATTAAATTTGAGAATGTTAAAATAGATTTAGTTAATAAATAAGTAGTTCATCGCTTAAATATCAATTGGTATGAAGCTTGTTAGATGGAAATTAATTTAAAAATTAGGTTATAATTCAATCCGTTCAATTCTTACTATATTTAAAATTCAATGTTTGTTTTCTTATAGTTTATCTGAGTAGCTAATAAAATTTATTTTGTGGGGTGACTTTCCTTGAATGAGAAATTAGGACGAACTTGTTAGACTAGGGGCTAGAGTTGACGTCAACTTCCTTTTGTGTATAATATTTTGGTATAAATTTCCTTATTATTATTATATAACACACGTGAGAGTTCAGATGATAATACTAGATTTTGTCTATATCTTACAACTGTTTCAGCATCATATGAAAATTTCATTTGTATCAGTAAAAATGATTTATTTGCCAGCTTTTTTCACTATGTTTCCAAAAATAAAAAATAAAAATAATCTGCCTTAGGTAAAATTATCATAATATGATTAACCTCCAAATTTGAAATCATTGATTACCACAATTCATGCAGTATAAAAAAACATGAAACCTTGTGATTTAAAAATAAAAAATTCAACAAAGCATCATTTTTTAGTCAATAGATGTTTTATTATCTTTGCAATGAAAAGAATAAAAAGGTAAAGAAATATAATACTTTGTTTTGTGGGAAGGATAAACACAAATAGTCTTTGGATAAATATTTAGTGGCAATAGTACCATAATAAGTTATCCCTCCCAATGGGTGGTATAATAATTCCATCATAATTTGTCATGGGATAAACTTATTAGATGACAAAACTACACTTCAAACCCTTTGATTATCACTTTTCACATTAACCAAGTATATTCCCCATGTAAATAGCACAATCTTTTGAAATTCTTGCTTAGTTTTGAAGAAAAAAAATAAACTTCACACTTCCTTATCAATTGCTTCATGATTTTGTGCTCTTTGGTTTCATTTATTTTTATTATATTTATGTATAGTCATCCATGTTTTAGACATAGTTCTATTTTGCTTTCTTCCAATGCTTCCTGCTAGTATTTGGAATGAGTTTTAACCGTGTTGCTCTCTTTGGTTATTATTTTTAGTACAACAAACCAAACAATCAATAAGAAATAATGTTAGAATAATTAATTTCAGCATAATTTATCCCAACATAACTTATCACAGCATAACTTGTATTCAAACCAAACAAAAAATGTATTTGTACCAATAAAAAAATAGATTTCACGTATATCTCAATCAAAAAAATCTAACTCGAGAAATAAAGATAGTTTAAGATCCTACGAAGAAATTAAATTATCCTTGTACGGTTGTACCACCACAAAAAACATAAGGAAGAACTTAATTTTAGGAACAATCGTATCTGAATATACAAAACATTCTAATGTAATGTTCATTCATCACGATTTACTACCAAATTGGTTAGAACCTAAAATTTCTTCTCTTAATTGCTCTTTGTTTTTCTTTTCTTTTATACTTAATCAATAAGAGAATTCCATGCGATGCACACTCTCTTTGAGAATTCCACTACTGTACAAAGCTGTAGGATTTGCTGGCATATCCAAAATCTTCTTCCCACAAGATTTTCTATATAGTCTTCTTCTGTACTCCTCGCCATTTTTGCCTGAATCTCTCACATCTGCAGCAAAATGAACCCTTTTCTTCTTCGAATTCATCTTCTTTTCACCTGTCACAGTTATACGATATGAATTTTGATTAATTATATTGACACAACAAGACTTTAGAATTTACGATATCAGAAATATTATATCAATTTAATTTAGAAAATTAATCAAATTAACTCAGATAAGGAAAAGAATCTTGATAACTCAGATGTTTGACTATCTGAACTTTCGATGAATATTCGAGTCCCCACATATAATCCCATCCCTACCAACCCCAATTTTACAAACAAACAAAAAACGTTAAAAAAAAGAAAATGTAGTAACCTAATTTTCCAAGAAGTTTGGAGAAATAAAAATGGTAAGTATTTATTTACCTGAAGATAAGCAAGATTTGAGAAAAGTCTTTTTGTGTGGAGAATTTCGATCATTCTTGGTAACTTCAAGCTCTGCATTTGGAAAATAATTTTCCCGAAGAAGATCAAAGAGAACGATAATGCCGGCTGAAACGGCTACAGCTGTTGCCAAAAAAAGGGCTTGTGAGCCCATCGAATAGGACATAGCCGGTTGGCTTGCAATTGATACTTGTTGTTGCAGTGAGCCGTCAGAGAGAAGTTGATGGATAGAGTAGGTTGGAATCTGGATATGATCGGCTTACTCTTATATATATATGGAGTGTATAATAAATGTACAAACAAAAAATTAAATATAGCTAGTATGAATTTTTATTCAGTCAATTAAAGTTTGTTAATCATAAATAGTGACGTTGAATTCCCCATTGGTCATAGGTGAAATTTTCCTTTCAATTAAAAATACTTATAACCATTTAATTTTAAGTTAAACAATAAAAAAAGAGTCAAAAAGTTAAAAAATATTATATCTGTTTACCTTTACTTGTCACTTATTCTTAAAATAGATTTTCATTTTTATTTGTCACTTTTGACATTTCAAGAATAAACAATTATTCTTTTCCATGTTTTACCCTTACGCGTTAAATACTTATTCTCTAAATCATTTTTAAGACCTAATATTAAACATCATTTAATAGGGATAATTTGGTAAAATACCTATATCAATAATTCTTTTTTAAAAGTGTACATGTCAAGTCAAACAGTGATAAGTAAAAATAAACGGAGACTCTAAGTCGACATATGATTTTGGATATTCTTACGTTTTGAAGTTGAATGATTAGATTTAAATTAATTTTTTTTTATCAATTAGTAATTTATGTTATGATAAATATAAATAAATTTTAAATATGTACTCTCTAAAATTAGTGGAAATGAGTTTGGGTTTTGGTCAAGAGGTTTATGTTTCAATAGTGCACCGCACGTAAGTATGAGTTGCGTAAAGTTGGGCAGTGAGTTACACACTTCCCACAACTACAAGCTAAGGTCAATTTGTGTGTTTAAAATGTTGATGTGGCCATACATAGTTAAGGGAATTAGATCCGGTTTCACATTGTTGTTGGAGGGTCAGAAATATTTATTTTGATATATATATATTTTTGTTGAAAAATTAAGTATTTGACAAATCAGTAAAATTGTTTTTAAATAGAGTTAGAAATAGTTTTTCTACGGTTGAAAAGAAGCTAAAAATTTCTGCTTTTAAAAAATAACAGAAGTAGAAACAAAAAATTATTTTTCTCTAGACTAAAATATCCTTTTTATATATACATATTTACCAAAAATTTTATTTTATATTTTTATATAATAAATTTTATAATTTATTTTCCGTTTATATATTATACATTATTTTACATATTATTTGCAGAACTAGAAAATTGGTAACAACAATATTTTTATAAGATAAGAAAACAGAAAAGGAAAATTAACAATTAAAGATTCTAGCCCCCCCAAAAAGGTATAATATTAATTGAAAGTTTAACATGTACTTAATAAAAATAAAAGTTTAATTAACTTTTTATAATAGATATTTAAAATAGTTTCTCTCTATAAAATAATTTTAATATTAGAAGTATATTGATAGTTGTCATTTTGTGTAATTTCACTCTCAAAACCACTTTTAAAAAAAAGATCAATCAAACACAATTTGCTTATAAAAAACATTTTTCAAATGAATTAACCAAACACAAATTATTATTTTAAAAAAAATATTTTTCTTAAAAGCCATTTTAAAAAAGTGTTTCTAAAAATAAATTGTTTCTAGCAGCAATGTCAAACATGCTCTTGAAAAGGTGAAGAATTGGAGGAGTCCAGAACCTAAATGATGGATGAAAAAAGAAAAAGTGATTAAACCCATATTCGCGTCGAAAAATCTCATAGGGAGCTCTTGAAGTTACAATACCTAAATTCTAATTTTTTAAAAGATACATTTTTTTTCAAAATCTAAAATCTTGATTCTATAATACATACAATTTTTCAAGTTTATTTGGTTGGTGTTAATTTTAGGTATGGGAAGTTATAAGACACAAATCCTAATTTTTAAGTTACATTTTTCATAATTCTATTGGTACATATATTATTTTAAAGTTACAAGAGTTACCTTAATTTTTAGAACTTATATTTTTTAAGATCTAAACCCTAATTTTATTAGTACATATATTTTCAAGATCTAAACCCTAAGTTTATTAATATGTGAGTTTTTTTTAATAATATTTTAGGTCGGAAAAATCGATTTAATCCCTAAATTTTAGTGTGATCAATTCATACCCTTTTTTGGGTAAGTTGGAAGTTTGACATTGGCTATCAAATGATTCATGACTTTTTTCTTGGTAAGTTTGAAGTTTGTTGTTGGTTTATCATCAATCCTAATTAAACTAAGTAACGGTTAACTAATCAATAATTTTTTCGACTAATTCACATTTACCATATATCATATTCAAAATAAATTAACATTTGACTATATTGAATAAAATTAACATTAACTAAATAACTGCGTTGTATAAGTTTATTGACCATAATAGTTGTTAAGCTTGATTCGTTTATGAAACCTATATCGCTCACTAAAATAATACGATATACCTAATTTTTGTAAACTTTTTTTTTTTCAAATATCATTTCAATCACTTATTCTTTTTCCAATCATTATTTTATTCTGGACTCAAATTAAAGAGACTGAAAGTTCTCGCTAGTTACGTTACAAGTAAATATTTCATCTCGAAATAATTCTATCATTTACTCTTTTTGTTTCAAAAATAAATATGGTTTCTTTAGCAAAAAATCTAATGACAGGTTTTTAAAATTTATTCGTTATGTTAGGTCTTTTATTGATTTTTATTGCTAAAATAAAACTTACATCTATTGTTGCCTTGTTGGGAAGCGCTGAGTTACAGCTGGAATAAAAAAGGCAATATATGAAGGTGAACATCCACATGGACAGTTTTCTTTGTTTTGAAAATTTATTTTTTATATTCTCATTTTGTTTCTAATAACATACTTTTATATAAAAATAAATTAATTTTTTTTTTTTATTTGTTTGTCATATTTTTTTATAGTTAGTTTAAAAAGCTTTAATTTTAATTTTCCACGTGATATATTTAAGATCACAATATTAAATTACATTTTCATATAGTTGACATATCTTTATTTAAGAACAAAATTAATTTTTTTTTTTAATATTTTAAATTATGTATTACAAGTCAAAATAAGATAAACAAATTAAACGGGAGAAGTATGTCATTTAATTGTTGGTTAGAGTCGGATAAATATTAATTCTACTTATATATAAGAGGGAGTTTATGATGGGACATTTGAATGTCCCATCATAAACTCCCTATATATTCTACTTATATAATAATATAATATAATAAATCATTTTTTCTACTATATAATATATATAATATATATTTATTTTCTAAGGGAGTTTATATAATATAATATATAATATAATATAATATAATATAATATAATATATACATAAACTCCTTTTATTATATAGTAGAAAATAAATATAATATATATATATATAATATATAATAATAATATAATAAATCATTTACAAATGACTTAAAATATTTAATATTTAAAATTCTAGCATAAAATAGGTTGACTCTCAAAATTCTATCCGGGTCACATATATTGAGACAGAAAAAATAACATATATCATTTTAAAATTACCAAAAAAGTATTAAAAATAATAATAATTAACAACTTAAAATATCTGGAAGACATTTTAAAAGGGTTAATTTTGTAATTTTATCCATATCACATAAATTAGGAAGTTATTTGAAAGTTACATAAAAATATTATAAATCACAATAATTAATAACTTAAAAAAAAAAATTAAAAAAAAGTGCAAATTTGGATGACTCTTCAAATTTCATTTGTGTCACATAAATTGAGACAACAAAAATAGCATATATTGCGTCCATTTTAATTTATTTATCTTAATTCTTTTTTATATTTACAAATTGCTTAAAAATACTATAAATCATGATAATTGACAGCATAAAATATGTTTTGAAAAAAATACAAAAAATTGCACTGATTCTTGAAGTTAATCTATCGTAAAAATACTATAAATCATGATAATTGACAACATAAAATATTTAAAAAAAATATACATATAAAAAATTTCGATTGATTCTTGAAATTAATCTATCGTTAAAATTATATATAAAATACAATAAATCGTGATAATTGACAACTTAAAATATTTATTAAAAATGCACAAAAAAAAGAAATTGACTGATTCTTAAAATTAATCTATCAATGTCACATAAAATGAAACAAAAGTAGTAATATGTATTATTTAATGTCAAATTACTGAAAACTACGTAAAATGTATTGTAAATCTTAACAATTAACAACATTTGATTAACTCTTGAAATTTTATCTATGCTACATACATTGAGACAAGTGGAGTAATATATATTAAGTATTTACAAATTACGTAAAAATATTATAAATTACATTATTAACAACTTAAAATATTTTAAAATCATATTAAATTTAAATAACTCACTATATTTTATTTGTGTCACATACATTAGGACAAAAAATAATAGTTATTGGGCCCGTGCGTAAGAGAGTTTATGCCCAAGTATAATATATAATATTCAATGACTCTCCAAATTTCATTTGTGTCACATTAATTGAGACAACAAAAATAACATATATTGGGTCCATTTTAATTTATTTGTCTTATTTTTTAAAATTTTTTATATTTAAAAATTGCGTAAAAATACTATAAATCATGATAATTGACAGCATAAAATATGTTTTGAAAAAGATACAAAAAATTCCATTGATTCTTGAAGTTAATCTATCGTAAAAATACTATAAATCATGCTAATTGACAACATAAAATATTTCAAAAATAAATACATTTAAAAAAATTCGATTGATTCTTGAAATTAATCTATCGTTAAAAACTATGTATAAATATAATAAATCGTGATAATTGACAACTTAAAATATTTATTAAAAAAACAGAAAAAAAAATTGACCGATTCTTAAAATTAAATCGTGATAATTGACAACATAAAATTGTTCAAAAATATTGTATGTGGGTAGTCTTATTCTGCCTTGAATAGTGTCAAAGAAAGTACAGGTTTGTGATAAAAAAACTTATTCCTTTATCCACGCAAACAATCGCTT